CTGGCTCTGTAGACCAGCCTGGCCTCAAACTCATAGATCTGACTGCCTCTGCCTCCAGTGCTGGGAATAAAAAGGCATGCACAAGCATGCCTAGGTAACATAAAGGGATTTAATAAGAGATGAAGCTAACACTTGGGAAGGCAAATTCCCTCATTCACCCACATATACAAATTACTTCATGTACCATTCCTTTAACTGTTTAAAATTTCCTTTCTCCATGCTCATGCTCTAAAAGGGAAAAAAAAATTCAAGCCAATAGGGGAAGTAATTCCCAAAGCTTCCCTCAGAACTACACCCAAACAATGATTTTTATACTTAAGATATTATACAAATCATTCAGAGAAAGAAAAGTATCTAAAAATAAATTTGGACATTCCAATTCAGGGGACAAAGATATTACATATAATTCTAAAGATGAAATCATTGTTTTCTGGGGACATAGTAAAGATATCTCCTAAAGTTAAAGACTATGAGAATTTTAAATCATTTCTAAAAATGTATATGAAAGTTTTTTCGTGTTCTTTTTTAAAGAAATGTACTTTCCAAATGTTGTAACATCAGCCACAGCACAAACTTACTCCCTAAAGCAAAAACCTATTAGGCAAAGATCCAAAGGCGAGAAAGGATGGGGGAATCTATAAAAGTTCAAAAGCCTTTTAAAAAACACTTTGTCTCTTTATTTATTTATCTATTTGTGCAGTGGGACACACATGCCATGGCACAAGCATGAATGAGGTCAGAGACAGTTTGTAGGAGTTACCTGGTTCTCTACTTCCATTATGTGCACTTCAGAGACTAAACTCGGCCTACCACATTTGGCAGCAAGCACCTTTACCTGCTGAGATACTTCTGGCTAAGGATACTCTCTGACATGAGTCCACAAGTTCCCTGTCCCTTTACCTCTCTCCGGTTTATTATCTTGTAAGTGTCCAGGTAGAACACTGAAGGGAAATATACAGATTACCATCCCCAGTGTCAGAGACCACAAGCAGGGACTAGCATGTAGGTAGGATTTATCTGGGAGAGGAAGCAGTACACTGAAAATAGGAGAAAAGCATCCTGCCCCTCCCAGAAGTCCAAGGAAAAGGCAAGTCAACAACAGAATGGCTATAGCAGAAACGCTATATATATAGTGAGCACTTGCCCCCAAACCTTAAACAAAAGCTCCTAAACCAGCCTAGGAGTTCAATAGGCTGTTTGGATGAGGCCAGAGAACCATGTTCAGATTTACATTATTCCATACAACTCTGTGCACCTGAGAATATTTTCACCTGCTTTTTCCAAACAGATGTAACAGTGCTGACTCAATATCTTTCTTACTTAGTCATTTTAAGACTTACTTTAAAGAGCTGTCAAGATGGTACCAAAGGTAAAGGCACTTACTGCACAAACCTGGCAACCCTAATCTCTGAAACCCACAAAAAGGTAGAAGTAAAGAACTAACTCCACAAAGTTGTCCTCTGACAGCCATATGTACTCTGTGTGTGTGTGTGTGTGTGTGTGTGTGTGTGTGTGTGTGTGTGTGTGTGTGTGTGTGTGTGTGTGTGTGTGTGTGTGGTGCACGTGTACCTGTAAGCCTAATAACAAATTTAAAATAAAAAAGAATTATTCTGACAAATGCTATTTCAATACTACTGTTTGGGAACGGTTGCATACTTCTCAAAGCAAGAAGCAAACTCCCCATAGCAAGCATTATTTTTACTCTAACTTTCCCTATACACTCTGATTAATACTAACAAGCATGCCAATGCAAACCGTTCTTGCAGGAGAGTTTTTATGATTCATATACTTGACATTTTAAGACACTTAAAGAGTTCGTAGAATTGTGACATTCTATCAGAAGAGGTTAACCAGTTCAGTGTTCTAGAAGCCAAATACTCCCAAGTGTTTTCCACTATCAGCTCTGCTGTTGAGTGTATGTATCTGACTTCTTTCAGGCTTTATTTCTCAGTTACTTATCTGCCAGCTGTGAGCCTTATAAATAATGTGGTAATCATTACATTTAAAATTCCACTTACACACAATCCAATTAAAAAACAAAAACAAAACTTCCTGAGGAAATGAAATGTTCTATTCTTTGCTTTATTTATTCAAAGATGATCAGAGTAAGTTTGAAAGACACACTTCTTTGAAGAAAAAAAAAAAGACTGAAAATGTAATATATAAAATTATACAAATTATACACTATGTTTTAAAAGAAAACAAGCAAAATGGAAGCTAGTTCACAGACAGGCAGATAAAGGAAAGAACATTTCAAATACTGAAAAGAAAGCAAAAAGGTCAAAGTGATGTTGAAAGGACCAGCCAGAATGGCAAGGAGGTAACCTTAAGAAAGCGGAGATTCAGGCCACAGAAAAAATGACCCTTTCACAGGAGTCACACAGCTTATAGCCACATTATGATTCATAACAGTGGCAAAATTACAGTTATGAAGTAGCAATGAAAATAATTTTATGGTTGGGGGGTCACCATAACATGAGGAACTGTTTAAAGGGTCGCAGCATTAGGAAGATTAAGAACCACTGCTCTAAATCATGACAGGTCTGGAAAGCATGAGTGGAGTGTGTGTACATGCCTCCTGCTTTAACAAAAGAAGAGATAATTGTGCTGCTACAGTGTACTTTTCTATAATTTAAGTCATATACAGAATGATTTATATATTGAGAGCTTGTTGGAGGATAGTCAATCACATGTGACCCCCAAGTTTGCATTTGTGTTGATTAAATAAAATTAACCGTGGATCAGGAGGCTTGAGTTAGCAATTAGTTGACAGAAAGTAATCAGAGCATCAGAGGACATCCAGGAGAGAGAGAGAGAGAGAGACACAGGAAGTTGGAGTGATGCGGCCTTTTCTGGTTTGGTAGAACAGAAGCACAGGTCTTTTGGGGGACGCCAACAAGGAGAGAGGGTTAGCTAGTTACTACTCAGAGATGCTGAGTAGCAACCATTTTGAGTCTTATTTATAAATAGAATAGAAATTTGATTGAAGCTACCTTTAGCGGCAGCAACAGGGCTGGTGCCTGAGGGAACAGAATTCCTGCCAGGCTGCAGCCTGAGTGGCCAGGCTGCTGCTAAAGAAGCAAGTCAATGACTGCAGAGTCTCAATTGTTGGCTGAAATAGCAAGTTAAGGTGCAGTCACTGTGCTGAAGATAAAGCAACAAGAGTTAGCAAGGATTATTAGAAAAAAAAAAAAAAAAAAAAACACTACGGCCAAACAAATTAAAATAGTGGGGAAAAAAAAAAGATGAGGACAATTATAGGAACATCAAAGTTAAGCCATTAATATAATGAATGGCTTAGGAAATCAGTATTGAAAGAAAGAAAAGATCTCCCAGGCCACAGGTTATATCTGCTTAGTCTTTCTATGAGCTTGAGAGATAGGGACAGATGTGACAGGAACCAATCCAAAATCAATGTGAAGAAAGAACTTCTCAAGAATGGAAGAAGAAGCTGGCTGATGGAAAGTATAAAAAGAATCAAAAGAAATGACTGCAAGGTTCTATTTAGTTTCCATCTTCACTTATCAAGCAATTATAACTAGAATATATAACTTATTTTGCAGACATATGTACAAACACACACTCTTGCAAAAAACTGGATCTTGGCCTCAACATTATTTCTCAGAGAAAATATTGAAAATTACATTGTAAAATAAAAATTAGCTAAAGTTTTCCACAAATCTTTAGAAAATTAACTCAAAAAGGTCCATGTTTGAAGTTAAAAGTTTCAACATACAGCACCTACAGAATGGTAGACACATTAGGTATCAAACACCGCAGGGTCTTTCAGTGTTAGAAACAGTGAACCAGCAACATCATCATCTACTACCCAAAAAACTGCTCCAGAACTTGTCCGCTGATCTGCAACTCTCCTTTGGGCAAACTTCTCTATCACAATTGGAAACTTAAGTAGAATTAGCTATTTCTAGAGGGCTAGATAGTAAAGCCTCTGAAAAATGCAGAAAACCCAAGGAGTACAAACAAAAATTGACAATTCAAAAAGAGAACTAGTGTAATTAACTGGCCTGAAGCACCAATGTGAGGCAGAGACCCCACAGGTTAATGCAATGTCCACACTTAATGTGGCAGAGCCAGATTGTTTGTGATGGGCTTATGAGCATGGCTTTAAAGTCTGCACTTCACCCTTAACAAAAGAACACAAAGACAGAGTCAGGACAAATCACATATAAAGACGAACAGTAAAACATATTAAAAAAAAAGAAAAGTCCTTCTGGCATGACAATTAGCTACTAACTAGATCCATTTAAGCCAGGAAATAAACTGATTACATTTTGCAATGAGAAATTTAAGTAAAATCTCAAGTATATCCTGAAAGTATGAGCAATTTTAACAATGGATTAGAAAGAAAGAATTATCAGGTATTTAGCAAATTCTTAAACGTATCTGCTTTAGTCTTGCCTACACACTGCCAAAAGTAATAGCAGCATAAACTCTGTCACCAAGATTATTTATATCACACAGAGAAGCAGTGTGCTATATATACTGTTATTTGCAACAGTTACATTCCTTTTTTTTTTAAGTCAATAGAAGATGCTGAAGTGAGGGATAAATTTTCCAGCTAATCTTAAGAAAATATACTACATAATATTTTTATTTTCTAATTCTGCGGGACCACAATTATTGCAATAATTACAGCAACAGTGAAGCAGTGTGAACCACTGGGGCATAAAGGTCTGTCTGCTCCTATACAGCATGGAAACCCCATTTCCACCTCCCACTTTCCTAATCCTGGAAGAATCAGAGGTTGTCAGGGGAAACCAGAAAACAGATAAGCATGCTTGTTAAATCAGTAACCTTAACAATATACATAATTTAAAGTCAAGAGGCTCTGCTCTGAGGTCTGCAACACAAGGACTCTCAATTTCAAAGAACTAGTGAATTAGCACTGCCATTTCCTTGTAAATTAGAGATCTGTTAAAATTCACTTCTAAATGTGAAGCTGTGCCCTGGACAAATGCTCCAAATTTTAGAAAACTTACCTGACTGCAGTGTTCTGTGTCAGGTCCCGTAACATGGGCACAGGGGAACATACTGTTCTAAAGGAAAGCAGAAGAATCACCAGTGTGCATTAGACATGCTGTTTGTGAGGCTTCTGAAAAAATAAATCATTAAAATGCACTAACAAAAACAATAAAGACAATGACCCTGTTTATTATGAATAGAAAACAATAATGGATAGTTTATATTAAAATCTGTAAGAGAAAACAAAAGACACTCCCTCTTCCCCAATTAATCCAAAAGGGGAACGAAAAGATCAACCCCACCCACCAAAAGAAAGTTGAATGAGAGCTGGCAAAGGGGCTCAGCAGTTAATAGTAATTATTGCTATTCTAAAAGACCCAAGTTTGGTTGCCAGCATCCATGTTAGGAAGCCTCACAACCTCCTGTGAGTCCAGCTCTAAGGGGCTCTGACTTTTGGCCTCCACAAATATGTGGACTCTCATGCACATACCAACACATAGACAACACATCACATGATTAAAAAGAAAATAATTTAGGAAAAAAGGCCAATTAGTCATTAACCATAGGATATTTAATCTCACCAGTAAACAGAGAAATACAACTGTAAACCCTAAGAGATCATTAAGCAGATTAACAACAACAACAACAAAATGGTGACAATGTCTTAAGGATACACAGTATCAATCTCTCTTACAAACTACTACTCACTAGATTAATACTATATTGTAACCACTTTGAAATAGCCAACACACTCTAATGATTAGTAAGTTCCTCTTGAATATGCGCCCTGAATAGCTGTCCAAAAACTTTGGTCTCCGAACTGCTTTATATTCTTGAAAATTATGCAGCCAGGCTGGGGAAATGGTTGTCAGTAAAGTGCTACACAATCATGAAGAACAGATCTCCAATTGCCAGCTCCATGTACAACCATGTCTCCAAAAAAGGAAAGGAAAATAAAAAGGCAGAGAGAGGGAGGCATCAAATATAGCTGTCTAGTTTCTATATAAGTGAATGTATGCACACACTTGTGTACACACCCACACACCCACAACTGAGAGGGGGATCTCAAAGAACTTCTATGTTGGCTGTAACTATTTGTTTATTAGAAAAATTTTAAATACCAAATTAGCATAAATAATATTTCAATGTAAAACAATTGTATTACGAGTATTACTACTAAATTTTTTTTTAATCTAAAAATCTGGCTTATTTATTTCAATTGTCTTTTCTGCTTCTTGTTCCCTATCTTGCCTCTAAAAACTCCACTGTGTGCTCAAGAAACAGAACAGGAAAATCAAGTGACATTGGAATAGTAGTAGCAGATGACAACAGCTGTAACTGTGCAGGTGCCTTAGTTTGAGGAACCCAGAAACCTTCACGGAAGGCAGCAAAGCTACTATATGCTACGGTGGGCTTGGGATCCATGTCTTTATTTCAGTCCAGCAGAATTTTGCTGTAAGTGTATAATTTTCATATTGGACTAAAAGGAAAAGCTAAGTTTCCTCCCAGTTGTCTCAACGATATACAAGTGGGTACTTACTGATCTGGAAGAATGGCTTCTTCATCCAAAGAAAACTTTCCTTGAATCCCATGACACAATTCAGGTGGCACATCTATTGGCTGTGGAAAAATGCATTCCTTTAATTTTAACTGAATGACGAAGCACGTGAGAATATGAAGCAGAGACTTGTTCGCCTTCTCTTAAGAGGACATAAGTTGAGAAGACTGTCACTCAGGGTCAAAAAGGGAAGGTACAAACAAACCAAGGATCTATCAGTAGGTGAGCTGATAAACAGATTGTGAATTTGCTTCTTACTGAACATTATTCACTCATACAAAGAAATGACATTTTGGTAATGCCTACTACATGGATGAACTTTTAACATGCCAAGTTAAATAAGGCAAGACAATGGGGATTCACACTGTTGGATTCCAGTTATGTGAGGTACCAAGAATAAAGACAGAGACAAATAAATATCTAACTCTGGGGGAATCACAGAATGGGGAGGTGTTGTTTAAATGCTGTCTAATGGGCACAAAATTTCTGAATGGGTAAATGGAAAAGTTCTACTGATGGACAGTGGTGTTAATAGTACAAAACCATAAATACACTCAGTGTCACAACATCTTATACTTCAAAACTTAAGGGTAAATTAAATGCTATACACACATGCACACAAGCACATGTTCCTAATTATTAAACAAATTGTATACTGTACCTCTGTGGAACCTGTCTGATACAGCTCTAAAATGAAGTCATGTAGTGGGTGAAGTTTTCCCACAAACATAACATCACCTCCAAGACTATTTCTCCTGTCTAAATAAAAAAGAATAAGACCACAATCAAGCAATTACATGTAATAAGACCTATTTTTATAAAGCTACAACAAAGGAAAGCACACACATTCTAAAAATAATCTCAGCACAATGTTTATGAAAAATAATTTATAAATGATAAACTTATATTCACGATATGTGGCTCTTACAATATTTGAAATGGGTTTTCAACAATGAGAAACTCTAAGAGGCTATTGCTCAGACATACTTGGATATATTGCAAGATAAAGGGTAAGACTTCCATAGTTATAAAGCGCCCAATTTCCTGTGTAAGTCATAAACATTCTCTAAGGAAATACAAACAACCACATCATGACAAAGATGAATCAATGGTTTCTTAGACTATATTGATACTAACTGAAATTTTCAAAACTGAGTTCATCTTTACAGTTTCCCGATCTAAATATTGTGCATTAATTATAAAATGCTACTTTTTATGCAGAGTAAGATTTCAAGTTAGTCCTTTAGGAGTGAATGCTTATTTTACCCAATTCTTTCAAGAAAAGTTAATGCTTTGATGATTATAGGAAGAAGGCAGATGGAGAAAATGAGTAATGCCTTCCTAAGAGGCAAGAGTATTTTTGTGAGTGCGTGTCATTAAGAATCAAAAAAGTCAAAGGGTATTCTTTCTTTTTTAATTAACCTAGGAATGTTTATTTCCTTCTTAGTTCCTTCAAAGCCCCAGTCATTGTTCAATAGGGTAGTGTGTTGTTTAATCTCCACAGGTTTGTGAATGCTCTATGGTTTCTCTTACTGTTGATTTATAGTCTTACTCCAGCAAGATCAGACAGAATACAAGCAATTATTTCCATTTCCCTGTATTTGTTAAGACTTGGTTTGTGTCCTAATACATGATCTATGTCACTGATAGTTCCATTATCTGCAGTTTGGATAATATGAATGTATATAAATGTCTATTCAGTACATTTGATCTAGGATGTCATTTAATTCAGATATTTTTGTCAGGATTACCTGTCAATTGCTGGAGTTAATCTATGACATTATCTCTAGCAGTACTAAATTGGATGCTCTAGTATTCAGGGTTTAGAATATTAACATCTTCTTGATGATTATTCTTTAATCAGTATGAAGTGACCATATTCATCTGTTCTTACTAGCTTTGGATTGAAATATTTATTGTCAGACATAATACCTGCTTGTTCCCTAGGTCCACTTGCTTGAAATAAGTCAAGGGATATTCTTAAGTGTGACCTTTTTTTTGAGCTGAACTTGAACTTTCATCGATTCTCTGCCTTATCTTACCCTTCAGAACTAGGATAAGAGGGTTGTGCCACCAAGTCCAGTTGAACAGTCATTTTTTAGTAAATTTAGCAAATACTTTTGAATTAAAAATTACAGCAATCTAGTACTCAATTTACAGATAATAGATTAAGAAGCAAAGTTAACTTAATGTGTTACAAAGAAGTAAAACAATTTATGCCTTCTCTATGAGAAATTTGACAATTTTATGCAGAAATGTAGAGTTTCTGTTGTACAGACTCAACATTGACCAAGTGGCAGTGTGACTCTTACTCTCTTCTGGAGTGAGGTCTGGGTACACCTCTTCTAGGGCAGCCCGCAGCCTTCGTTCATCCACAAATGGCAACAGAGCAACACCTGAAGAAGCCAACACATCACCTGACTATTAGAATCACGTGATTTCAGATTTTCATTGGGTCAAATGAACATTCTAGTAAAGTATCTCTGTTGACAGAAAAACATTTGAAACTAACTCTTATTTTTGTCATGTAGCCAAAATTCAGATGCAAACATTTTCATATGCCGTAGTAATGACCAAAAATATCCCTATGTTTTTCTTACTTACAGTGTCACCTTATTAAAGCCTTCGGGCAAACAGCAGCTCATCTTCTTAGAGCTTGAGCTTGTCCTTTTGTCCTTCCTGATTCTTTGTAAAAATGAGGGCATTTACCTAACATACTCAGAAGTTCTATTTCTGAACTATATGAAAAGTCTCATGTAACTTCCAAGCTTCCATAGCACTCTGTTTATGCTTTAATCTGATTAATTTTTATGCAAACATTCTTACTAGCTTTGCCTAAATAACTTACTAGTGGGAAATAGAACAGAATGTCCATATTGGGGTAAAAATAGCCTACAGAGCATGCTGAATTAAAGTGAAAAGATAATCCACAGAATTAGAGAAAATATATAATAAAAATCACATCAAATGGGAATAATGCAACAACTAATAACCAATCCAACCTAATGGATTTGAAGATATTTCTTTAAGAATACAAATGCCCAAAAGATACATAAAAATATGCTCATATATAAAAATAAACTAAAGCTATTGTGAGTTGCCACTTGATAGTGGTTAGGGCAGCTCTAAAAAACAAAAAAACCCAAAAACCCAAAACAAAAAACAAAAAACACCCAGGGAAAAATATTGGCAATGATGTGAGGAAATTCAAACTGTTGGGTATTATTTTATCTTCTCCCTGGAATTACTATGTTGAAAAGATTCTTTGTCATTAATACAAATACTATAACTATAATAATATAAGTTGGCTAGAAATCTGTATGTTTACATATTTAAATATTAATTTAGTAGCTTTAGCAAGGATTGAATTATGTATCTAGTAAACATAAATATATTACCTTGTTAATTTTTATTACCTCTCCATTTTCCTATGCTCCTTCTCCTTAATTAAAATATCCTCCACAAAGTTCCTTCAAAAAATCTCCTGAGATTCTAATCCATTTATATTTTACATAGTCCAAATCAGTGGGATGCATTTTCCATTTTTATTAAAGTACTATGAAATTATTACTATTACTTAAACTAACCTTCCCCCCAAATCTCTTAAAATTTCCAAGTACAGTATTTTTTGGGTGGGTTGGGAGGGTGTTGTGAGGTTGCTGGGGACCAAAGCCACTTATGCATGCCAGGCAAATGATCTACCACTGAGTACTTCCCAGCCCTTCCATCTGTTAATTGTTTCATATGCCACTCTGTCTTACAGTTCTCAGCTTAGGTCCTGGAAAAGTGTACAGCACAAGAAAATGTCAAAATGATTTGCTGAAAGGAGTCTTTAGTGATGGAGTTTTATATTCAATGATCAACATTTGTTGAGTAGTGAATACTACCTCAAGTTTAGTATGAATCTTGAAATTGCCTTTTCTACAAGGAATTCACACAAGGAATTTAAAAACAGACAAAACAAATGAATGTCAAGTGTTAAGTTTCTAGTATATTTTCTACCAGTTACCAGAGTATAACCCCAAATGAGCATTACTATTTCTTTCTCAGCAGCTTCAAAAGGTGACAATGGACTGAAGAAAAGTAACAAAGGATACTAAACCTGCAAATTTAACCTACTTCAACAAGTTCCTATTTACCAGAATATTACTATTAAAATTACTATTGGTCGCTGGGCATTGGTGGCGCACACCTTTAATCCCCAGCACTCGGGAGGCAGAGGCAGGCGGGTCTCTGTGACTTCAAGGGCAGGCTGGGCTCCACAGCGAATGCCAGGATAGGCTCCAAAGCTACACAGAGAAACCCTGTCTCAAAAAAACCGAAAAACCAAAAATAAATAAATAAACAAATTAAATTAAATAAAAAATTACTATTGGTCACTGACAATCATAGATTGAACAGATACACTCATTTTCACATGTAATTATGAAAATATGTATGGAGAATGATTTCTATAATTCTTTTATCCTGTAAGTCATGACTGACAAGTTTTAATAAAAACTTTAAACAAGCCAGGTGTTGGTGGCACATGCCTTCCAAGGCCAGCCGGGTCTACAGAGCTAGTTCCAGGACAGCCAGGGCTGCACAGAAAAACCTTGTTTCAAAAAAACAAAACAACAACAAAAGTAAACAAAAAGGAATGAATATCTAGATTTTACCTTGCCATGCATATTTCTTCCCATTTAAATCGATAGCAAAATCTTCAGGATAGAAGTCAATTATACTAGAATCCTGTTTCGGGGAGAAAGCAAAAGAATCAAAACCAAAAACATGATAGGACTCTTGTTCAATTCACCAAGATTCAATGAGGAAATAAGATATATTTTCTCTAAATGCTAAAGTATGAGGTTTCTAATATCAGGTATCGCAAAACAAAATTAACAACTTTATTTTAACAAAGAAAGAGTTCTAGAATAATTATGGGTTTCACAGAGGCAGTAAAGGGTTTAGTTACTCAATGTTTCCTATTTCCTGGCTGGGTCTCACTTTTTAACTAGCACACGCCACCCCACCCCCCCACACACACACACAAAAACCAAGCTCAGAGGTAATTTTAGGTAAGTCATAGATAGAATGTTTAAAGTCATTATGTAGTGATGAAGCAAAAATAGTTAATGCAGGGCATGGTGACTCACAACTCTAATTCTGGTACTGGGAAGTCAGAGGTGGATCTCTGTGAGTTCAAGGCTAACCTGGTCTACAGAGCAGTTCCAGGGCTACACAGTAAGTTCCCTGTCTCAAAAAAGTTACATATAGACTGAAAACAAATAGGTTTTATTTACTGGATAGAAGATTCATAGCCAAAGAAAGTATAGGATAACACATTATGCAGTGAACTCATTCTTTTTAAACTGTGGCATGCAAAAGCAACTCTGACTAATATTGCCAATGTAGCACAAATAATAAAAAACCGACAGATATTTGAGTTCAATCTGAAAATCAGAAAAGCAAAGCAAAGCAAAAAAAAAAAAAAAAAACAGAAAAGCCAAGCCACTAGTAAGTTCTTACTTCTTTCTATCTACCAAGGGGGGGCAATCCTGACCTGAGAGTGACTGCAGACTGCAATGCTCTCCACCAAAAACCTCAGACTAGTCTCTCTGAGCCCCTGTCTTATATTCTCTCTACTGCTGGGATAAAAGGCATGAGCTGTTTCTCTTTTAGACTGATTCACTCTCATCTAGCCTAGGGTGGCCTTGAACTCACAGAGATCCATCTGCCTCTGTCTCCCAAGTGCTAGGATTAAAGATGTGGCCACCACTGCCTGTCCTCTATGGTTAGCTAGTGGCTCAGGTATGTGGCTAACTAGTGGCTTAGTGTGTGTGTGGCTAACTAGTGGCTTAGCCCTGCACTGATCTTCAGGGAAGATATAACTTCCGCCATGATGGAGGTAGAAAGTTACCACTTGCAGCTGGAAAAACCCCCATGAGTTGTTCCAGTGGTTTAAACTGCAAGAGAGGGAAAGGTTAAAGACTCCAAATTATTATCTAATTCAAATTCCTATTTTTTCAACTTGAAGCTTACCGGTTTTGTGCCCTTCTCAAATTCTGAAGACATGTCTGCAATACCTTCAAAGTCTGAGGCAAATGGTGCATAATGGAATGGATAATACCATTTCCAGGAAGCACAGCCCTAAAATCATTAATAACAAATAAAAGCAAAATGCTCTTAATGATGAACATGGTAAAAAAATTTGACTATGACTATTAGTCTATAATATCCTATTTATAAAATAGGACTTCTGATATATACTCCACTCATTAACTTTTCTGAGTTCAAAATATTATTTGTCTGCTTCATATCAGTGGTTCCTTAACATAAAAGATATGGTGAAACTTTTTGAATAATCAGTATTTAACATCAAACCTTATATTCACAAACACAAACGGGTCAAGACATTTATCGTTAAAATATATTTGATGACATTTCTTTTCAATCTCAAGCTTCTATCATCAAATAAAACCAATTAGCAAAAGGCTCAATATTCTATTTTGTGTAGCAACATCATACTATAGAGGAGAGCTGTTACAATCAAATTCCTTTCAAATTTCTATTGGTATGATTTACATTATATTCTTCCTTTAGTTGCTTGGTGACTGTCAAATACTCAGTTATTTTTAAACTCTATGTAAACAAACCAAAAAGCCAGTAAACTTTAGTCAAATTAAAAACCAACTCAAATACTCTGATCCTAAAGTCCTTTAAGATAACAAAACCAAATTTTATTGATATAGTAATTCCCAAGGAACTTCCAAATCGTTATGTATTTTATTCATGGCAATTTTTAATAGAAAGTTTTAAATAACAAGTGTAAGTTTTATCTAAGGATATTCAACATTATGCACAATTATAGAAATTACTAGTTTTCTAAAATGATTAACCAAAAACTTGGGAGGAAAAATTCTTTTGGTACCTGGTAATAATATCGAAGAACCCAGCACAGTCCTTCAACATAGGACTGAACCACCTTACGTCGGAATTTCTCATCAGCTGCATCTACATCAAACTTGTTCTTATAGTATCGTTGCTTCCAACCAGCTTCCCATAACCTAAAAACCAGGTGAAGTAAGTTTATATTGAGTAAATACATCTGCAGCTATACACTGTCTGATTTGGGAATAAATCAATTCATATTTAATACCTAAAGGAAATTGAAGGAGCTGAACAGAGATTCATTTTACTTTCTAAACTGATGAACTCTACTTTCAGCAGTTACCAACAATAATTAAACATCAGAAACCCAAATACTGATGGTAAGGCCATTATATAACTACATTTTAAAAAACAGCATAAATACTTATAAAGTAAATACATTATACTTGTTTGTGCCAATCCTAATACTGCTTCCCATATTTTCTTTAATTGTGTAATAATTCTAAAACTATGCTCTAAGATTAAGATATTGAAGATATTTTATATTTCAAAGCTTGTCACAATATGTTAACGATATGAAGTAAGTAAATGATTTTTAAAATGGTATACTAAATGTTTTTTTAAAAGGATATAAAATAATCTAGGGTGCAGGTGGGCAGAGATTGTATGCATCCCTGTTCTCTCTATCCTTGCTCACCTCATCCCTCTTGCAACAAAGAGTTCTCATGTCTTACTAGGAGACAGACTGATTTCTGCATCCCCTCCCCTCACATCCCTATTCTCATTTATGTTTTGGTATAACCTAACAGGTTATACCAAATTAATTCACCAATTATCATGAACATTGAAGTTACACAATCAAATCTTAAACACACTTTATGTGTGTTCCTCCATGCACAACTGAGTACTACATGCATGTCTCATAATCACAGACACTGGATCTCCTGGAATTGGAGTTACAGATGGTTGTTAGCTACCATATGAGCACTGGGAATTAAACTCAGGTCCACTGCAGGAACAGCCCATGCTCTTAACCTCTGATCTCTCTCTCCAGCCCCACAATCAAATTTTACTCCCCAACATGTGTTTTGTTTTATATTTTTATTCTTTAAAAGATTTAAATATTTTAAGGAACAAGATAAACTAAAGAACACTTTCAAAAAATCAAGTCAGATCAAGAACATCAAGTCATTCTCCATTAGACTTTTTGAATGTCAGACTTTAACAAAATAACTACAGAGAACACACTATCATCCCAAACTACCTACCAAAACCTAAAAGACTCATAGAACTAGAATAGCCTCTACTCTACTGTTTTACTTGAAAGCGTAAGTGAAACAAATGTCAAGAGTCTCAAACATTTCTTTATAGAAGTCTTGAATAAACAATAAATGACTGAACAAATCAAGTTACCTATTAAACTAGTGTTTATCATGATAGCTACATTGATAAACAAAAAACAGATGATACACGCCTTTAATCCTAGTACTCAAAGGCAGAAGCAGGTACATCTCTTGTCAGTTCAAGACCAACCTGGTCTACAAAGCCAGCTCCACACAAACCTAGGTTACTCAGGGCCTTATGTTTAAAAGAAAGGGAGGGAGGAGGGGGTGGTGGGGAAGATAGCTCAGAATAAAGATAGATCAAAGGTTAAGAGCACCAGCTGCTCTTGCAGAAGACCCGGGTTCAAATCTCAGCACCCACCACCACTTATAACTCCAATTTCAGGGAATCTGACATCCTCTTCTTAACTCTCCAGGTACCAGGCACACACATGGTGCATAGACATACATCCAGGCTAAAACACATTTTTAAAAAATCAAATACAAAACAAATAAAAATCAAATATAAACAAAAACTTATAGGATGGAAACCCAAGAGACAGAAAAAGCAGACTAGAGCTAGATTAAATAAATGTTTATTGAATGGCTATTCATTGATCTGATATTTTTTACCACTTATCCAATATTAAAGGATACTAGGAAAATAAAGCCATATAATTAAGTTCTTAATTGTAAATAAGAATCCCCACATTCTATTTCCTGTACAAGAAGCATGCCTTGCTGAACTTTGAAAGAAACATTTTCCTAAATTCTTAGTGAACTACAATTTTTTAAATTGTTGCCCTTTTGTAAAGGATGCTCAAGGTAATCTAGACTCAGGTACAGGAGAGGCTTGTAATTTCTTTATGTAATGATTCCAAGTCCAGTCTCTGAACCAATTACAGAATCAAAGTTTCCCACTATAAAATTTAAGTATGCAGTTAAAAGGAAACTCCTGTCATGAAACAAAATTTTACATATGCAATTCTGTAGTTCTTTTTAAAAAATACATATTTATATCCTAAAATGATTTTTGCACATTTCCTTTTGAGGAGGAATCTTTTCATAGAATACTAAAGCAAACTATGTTATTGGCCAAATGTATCTGAACTTTCTAGGTTAAGCAACTTGAAAATTTAATCTCTAAACAGTAACATTCAGATCACATCATTGGAGCTAAACATTCGTGCCTAGCCAATCTAGTGCTTGGTCTCAGAGGGGAAAGTGGCTTGGAAGACAGAAAGCTGCCTGCATACTAATCTAGATACTTGGGTTTAACAGCAATAGCTTACACATCTCCCTGGAATTAGTGACTGTTCTAACTCTCCACATTAATTACTGCTGGATAAAAAGATCACAGGCAAGTATCTGAAGGCATTGCTGCTCTAAGCTAAATAGCATTAATTAGACCACATCTATTTCAGCAATTTGCTAACAAAATGCTACCAAAAAAAAAAAAAAAAAAAGGCTTTACCTGACGTTATCCTCTGGCTCTGGTTCACTGTCACTGTCTTCTGCTTTTCTCTTAATTCCTGGAGATGGGGAGCCATCAGATGCAAAACTTGTATTAGGAGATATTGAGGGACTCTGCAGACAATTATGACATTACAGAAGGATTTCATTATTCATTTTACACAAGAAGATATAGCCAAACATCTAACACTTAAGAGTTTCATGTGTTAACTTTTAAAGCTATTAAACAAAGAGCAAACATATCTAGAAAGAACAGAGACTGACCTTGTCCCACACCAGTCCCCTTCCCAAGAAATCCAAAGTGCCAAGCTTTCTCTGTTCAAACTCTAAAGAATTATTAGGACAAAACTTGTTTAAAACAACAATAGTTTAACAGACATAAAAAAAATTATTTAACTTGAATCTTGATTTCCTTTGGTAGTTTCCTGGTATTATTAATTCACAACCATTTTCTACTATCATCCAGTAAAGTTATTAAAAAAAAAACCTCTGAAGGAAAAATTATATATTTGGTTCATATTATCTATAATAAATAGCAATTACACACACATGCGTACATCAGACAAAGCTTATGAGAATGCCATCAAATAGTAAGTGTTCAGCAATACCAAATCACCCTGTAAAGCAGCAATTTAATGAGATTCCATCTGAAAACAGTTGAATTATTTTATATGTATTGCTTTAAAATTCAGTATATTAAATAGAAAAATGGAGATTTTTTTTGTTAGTATTGCAAAACCTTGGATACTTTATTAGTTTTCCTTTGTACCAAATTCAAAGAACACAATAGGACCCTAACTATTTTAATATTTAATTAAAAAATTTAAAAAACTTTTGCAATTATAGTTAAATGACCAAAACTGTCATGATAGAAAACACTATCATAGTTAAGATTTCCTTCTGTTAATCACAGCAGATTAGCTATTTTAAGTCATCTGAATTACTTTAAAATTGAGAGCAAACAAGGCTCTCAAGGGTTTAATGATACTAGAATAAAAACCTTACCATGAAGACAGTTCACACTACAAACCAAGAAAAGTTAAGCTATACTTCACATAGAACTTAGAAGTACTTTCTTTCAAAAAATATGTCAGATTTGTTCTGACCAATGTATATATACCCAAGGCTAGAGGGACGGCTCAGTGAGTAAGCATCTGCTGCACCTGCATGACAAGCGGAGTTCAACCCACTTATATCTAAAAGGTGAAGGCCAGACACATGCCTTTAATCCCAAAGTCTATGAGTTTGAGACTAGCCTGGTCTACATAGTGAGACTCTGTCTTTAAGAAAAATTGAAAAGGGTAAAACCCAATTCTACAAATTGTCCTATGACTTCCGTGAGTGCATGATGATTCACAGCACCCACCTACATGTACATCACACACAAATATAATGATAATTATTAAATAATTTCTTTTAAAAACACACACCCATAGTGTCTAAACAAATTAAGCACAGAAAGGTTTCTTCGTACTTGGAAAATGAGAGAGACATTATGAGACAGATCAGAGTCTGACATAACAAGTTCAACCTTTACCGACTATATGCATGGCCTTGAACAATATAACTCTGTGAGTTTCACCTTACACTGAGGATGATACTCTCTTTAGATGCTATACCAAATGCTAAATAAAATCTTGTGTGTCAAAGATTACTGGCTAGCACTCTGCCTGCCTAGCACAAGTGATTAATCAACCAGGAAATGATCACCACTATCTGGTGACATTCAAGCCTATAAGGCATTTTCTTAGTGATTGATGGGGGAGGGCCCAGGCCATTGTGGGTGGTGTTATGCATGGGCTAGTGGTCCTAGGTTCTATAAGAGAACAGGCTGAGCAAGCCATGAAGAGCAAGCCAGTAAGCAGCACCCCTCCATGGCCTGTGCATCCGCTCCTGCCTCCAGGATCCTGTCCTGTTTTGAGTTCCTGTCCTGACTTCCTTCAATGATGAACAGTGCTACAGAAATATAAGCCAAATAAACCCTTTCCTCCCCAACGTGCTTTAGTCATGGTGTTTTTATCATAGTAATAGCAATCCTAACTAGGACAGACACCCTTTTCTGACCTCCAAGGCATCAGACACACACCTGGTACACAGATGTACATGCAAGCAAAACACTCCAACATATAAAATAAAAATACAGTTTTTCTTAGGCTACCAAAAAAAGATACTCAATGACTAAATCCTCACAGTCCAATTAAGGCATGGTACGGTTCTGAAAAGATATTTTAAGGTGCCCCTTACTACACAAACTATGGTTCCTTTATATTTGTAAATGTAAGAAACAAATGGCAAAAGCTCATAACTGGTCCCTAGGAGGAAGAGAAAATAAGAGAGCAAAAGTCACTGTCCTTTCTAGCCTAGGCCAGGAGACATGTGAATATTCCAGTCATATTTTTAGTACCATCTACCACTCAGTTCTTTGGGGTATTATGGGAACACCATAGCTAATTAGCTATTTCTTTATATTAACATGTACTGATTATCCCATATTCTTTTCTTTAACATCATTTAGTGATTTTCATCTTGATAAAGATAGATTAAATAAAGTTAAAAATATTCCAAGACAAAAGATGTTGAGAAAAACCTATCAAACAAAGCCTTAGACAAAAGGATAAAATTCACAGATACAATTCTAAAAGGAACCGAACATTCATCATATAACACCACAGAGAAGTAAGCCACTTACAGAGTTACTATGCATCCTCATTTCATAGGCCGCTTGTCTTGGATTACTGGCTACATGACAACCTGGTGAATTTCTTGAACCCAAGGCATGAGGTGTTAATATTCCACTAGGAGTAAAAGCTGGTTGATCTCTCTAACATAAATAGAAGCAAAATTAAATTACAACGCAGTTAGTGACAGGAAGCGAAGAAGACAGTGGAATAGTCCTTATTTTAAGTGCTTTACTATTAAACTCATTGAAAGCCACACAGACTTCCAGTAACATTACAAGGTTATTTACACCTTATAAGCAACAGTCTATAATACTTAATAACTTTGCCCTAAAGTACACATAATAATATGTATAGTATATTGTTTTGATACATGGGATCATCTTAAGTCTCATATTAATGTTTGTTACAATTTTAGGAATACACAAACTATAATTCAGGTGAAAAAAAAGACAACATACTTTTTTTAAAAACAGTAAAACAACATTTATTTAGTCATAACCCTGTTACAACTAGGTTGCTTATTTCTTATCAAGTAGAGATATAATTAGAGCTCTAACAGATAATAGCTATGGCTGACTGATAAAATAGTTATTAACAGAGAATAATATAGACGATAGAAATATGTGTGTCTCCCAATCTAAGCACTTGTGCTGGCTAGTTTTATATCAGTTCAACCCAACTTGAGTCATATCTGAAAAGAGAGAACCTCAACTGAGAAAATGCTCCGCGTAAAATCCAGATGTAGGGCATTTTCTTAATTAATGATTGATGAGAGAGGGCCCAGCCCATCGTGGGTGAGTGATGCCACTCCTGAACTGGTGGTCTTGGGTTCTGTAAGAAAGCAGGTTGAAGCCGATGGCACACGCCTTTAATCCCAGCACTCGGGAGGCAGAGGCAGATGGATCTCTGAGTTCGAGGCCAGCCTGGTCTCCAGAGCGAGTGCCAAGATAAGGCTCCAAAGCTACACAAAGAAACCCTGTCTCGAAAAACCAAAAAAGGAAGGAAGGAAGGAAGGAAGGAAGGAAGGAAGGAAGGAAGGAAGGAAGGAAGGAAGGAAGGAGGAAGGTTGAGCAAGCCAGTAAGCAACACTCCTCAGTGGCCTCTGCACCAGCTCCTGCCTCCAGGTCCCTGCCCTTGTTGCTTCTGATGATGACCTGTTTATCTGGAACTCATAAACCCTTTTCCTAGTTGTTTCTGGTCATGGTGTTTCATGATAGCAATAGTAGCTATCAAGAATACCAATTCAAGACAGTGCTCTTGAATCCAAACGCAATGGTGAGCAACTTAACATTTCTCCCTTTCTGTTTCCAAATAGTGATCAGTTCTTATAAAACACAGTAGAGGGAGGAGAGGGAGAAGGAAGGAAGGAGAGGAAAAGAGAGGAAGGAAGGAAGGAAGGAAGGAAGGAAGGAAGGAAGGAAGTACAAAGTATTACACAATTACATATAGAATCTATCACAGGCAGACAAGTAGCTGCATAGTTAAGAGAAAGGACTGATCAATGCTAGGAGCAAAACTAACAAAGGAAACCTTGTATATGATGGGAGGGAGCAACAAAGGCAGGAATATAATTGGAAGTACAAATGAAGGAAACACTCAATAGCACAATAGGTGAATTTAGAAGAAAGCAATGAAAAAGAAAAGCTAGATGGTCAGAATTAGCCCAAAACCAAGATAGAACTAAATTCTGAAGGTACTGAAGAATCTGAGGAGATTTCAGAGAAAGAAACAAAATTCAGAAGGTCACATTCTAAGAGGATTAGAATCTGACAAAGATAAGGGAAGAGAAAATGTATACAGTAATTTCCTAGAAGATGCAAAGGGCCAACTATTCTTACTACAATAACTACCTGATTATTAAAAAACAATTCTAACAACCAAGTGCCACTTGCTACCCACTTCCTATCCCTTGACTCCAAACCTTAGGAAGGGCTTCTTTAAAAACGAACCAATGACTGTGTATAATGGCGCATACCAGTAGTCCTTTGCACTTGGGAGACAAAGGCAGGATGATTGAGAGCTCAAGACCAATTGGGATAGATATATTTTCCCTATCTCAAGACACACACACACACACACACACACACACACACACACACACACCAGTATTATTTTGCCAGCTTTAAGACAGCTGGCAGGATTTGGAGGTTCTTGAATAAGGAATAGTTATTGCAATGCATAACATCCTCAAAAAAAACTTAAGCTTTGCCCAATCTCATGCAGTTAATTAAAACTCACCTTCATCCTCTTTCTTTTTTCTTTCTGTCGTCTTCTAAAACTGTCCTAAAAGTATAAAATCCATATATTCTGTCAAATAATTACACAAAAATGTCAGAGTTAAACATTAGCAGGAGTGATTTGAAAGACCATTTAAGCTTTAAAGGAAGTTATCAATAGTCTGGGTCTAACTAAACCAGCTTTGTATATATACAAAGCCCTAATTGTCAGAACTCTGGATGAGCAGAAAGACTGAATTTTGATAAAAATAAACTGTTCTTAAAGTTTTAGGATCTTAAAAATACATTTTAGGAAAATAAAAGAGCTATGACAAAGACCTTAGCTTTACACTAGATGGAATAAGCTTTTCAACGTGAGAAAATATATGTACAAAAAAATGAATCTTAAGTTGTTAAATATAATTACCATTTAAAACCTCTACAAGACAGTTGAATAAAGATACTCAGTTATGCCAGGCAGTGGTGGTCCACACCTTTAATCCCAGCACTAGGGAGGCAGAGGCAGGAGGATCTCTTTGAGTTGGAGACCAGCCTGGTCTACAAGAGCTAGTTCCAGGACAGCCTCCAAAGCCACAGAGAAATCCTGTCTCGAAAAACCAGGGGAAAAAAAAAAAAAGATACTCAGTTACATTACTAAAGGCTAACCACTCCTAGCATGAATGGCAAGCAAGAAAGAAGTGGGATTCCACAAACACTAAGCCCTAGCTTCCAAAAAGCTATCAACAGAAAAAAGGGAATTCAGATTTACTGTTTATTCTTGGCCAAGTTAATGCACAGGTCTCAAAGGGCAGCCATAATTTCACCTCTCCAGGATTTGGGGCTGATATTGTTCCTCATTAACAATGGTCCATTCCACAGGTTTGCACACCCATGTCCTAAAACAGAAGCCAGCAGTACTGGTGCCTACCCTAAGTGCATTCTGCCAAACGCAATGGAAAACTTTAATTAGATCTGCAATTGGTGCTTTCTTCCAGGATTGGGGTTTTGTTGTTTTTCAGGACAGTTTCCTTATGTAGCCCAGGCTGTCCTGGAACTCACAGATCCATCCATCTGCTTCTGCTGGAATTAAAAGTATGTACCACCACACCTGATCAGGAGAGGGGATTAACAAAGTATACCCAAGGATGAGGCTATGAAACCTCCAAAGGTATAAAAACTCTTTCTTATTAATGGTCAATGTTTCCCAAGCTCTCATAGAACACTTTCATTCCACATAAGCTCCCATAGACTCTCACATTCCTACTCAAGGCTTCAAGTACCTCCTCCCATCAACCAAGGTTCTAAAATTGTCTTCAAGACTTTCCCCATGTCAGGCATCCTGTAATCCCCTCATACTCATCTCCAAAATTACTTCAATTTGTATCTGGTCTCTTACTCCAATCTCCTATAACCCATAGTATTTACTATCTCAGTGAATGGACTCAACAAACACTGAACTGACTAGGATAGAAATTTGGACTTCTCTATATAATCATATAATCAACTTCCAAGTGCCTTGTTACTTCAGTTCCTTCCTCTATGTTTCAACTTACTTAGAAGTTACCACCCTCCACAAAGCCTACATTCTTCCATCGTTCTGCCCTAGCTGATGCCATCCAACTCAGACTCCTAGAATACACACTTCCTAGGCCTTACCCTGTTTTCTAGAGTATAAAACATGGCAGTCATGTTTTGGCTAGTTTTAGATTTATATCCTAAGTAAGATTAGGAAGAGAAAAACTGCAATACAACTCAAATAATGTACAATACACAGTTCCATACAGCAATCATCACAGCCTTTATAAAACAGCCAAGTACCAAGCTTAGGATTATATAAGCAACACATTACAGTGGTATTACAACACGGACAAGTTAAAAAGTACATCACAGCCTATGAGAGTAGCAATTTTAGCTACTGCAATGTATTTACCTCATCATCTTTTCTCTTTTTAAAAATGCTATCCTCAACTTCACCAACTGCTAACATGATCATCTGTACTCTTTGCAGATTGACATAACCACTTTCTGTAAGGTAACCCTGTAAGTGATAAAATACATGTAAAATAATGTTCATAGAAAACCAAATACACCTGCTTTTAAATTACTCAAAAATAAACTTACCCCAGTTTTGTGTACCACGTTTTTGTATATGTTAACCAAACGATCAATTGCACCTTCCCTGCCACCAGGAGACAAACATTATTCATTAGGATCAGTGGGCTCTGTAAAGTCAAGAAGGCTGAGACAGTCATTGGAACATCCCACAGATACACATACCTAATCTCTAATGACGGCAAGTGAGGAAGGAAATCATTCCCCACAAAGAAGCACATGAACACCCAGTCATCAATGCTCCTCTCCACATCAAATGGGAATGGTAAGCTGGCCATGGTGAGTTCTCTTTCCAGATACTACAACCAAAAAAGAATGCTGACATCAAAGCAATGAAAAGAACATGTTTGAGGAGTGCAGTTCCAATAGCCAATGAAACATACCTCTCGAAGGACATTCAGCCGAATGAAGATAAACTCCCCTTCTGCACAAGGAAGACTATCTGCAAGTTCATCATGCTGCAAGAAAGACAGTGCAGATTATGCCCAACCTAAACCCTGCAATTTTTTCTAGCCACACAAATTGTAGGGATTTTCTAATGTAAGACCCCATTTAATATTTAAGTACTAAATTTAAAAAGTTCACCAAATCATTTTAAAATAATCACATCTAGACCAGAGATAAGCAATTATTTGGTATGAAGGGCCAGGAATGCATATTTTCCCTTTGGGGAGACACATACAGATGAATATTCTTTCACGTTCTAGAATACTTTTAAAACCCTTAAAAATGTAAAAGCAGCTGGAGATCAGTGATTTAGGAGTATTTGATGTTCTTTCAGTGGACTCACAGTTTACAGCACCCATATCAGGATGTCCACAATAACCTGTAACTCCAGCTCCAGAGTACCACACCCACACATACAACTTAAAATAAAACCTTTTAAATAAAATAAAATAAAATAAAACATTCTTAACTCATAGGTCCACATGAAAGACATGTTTGCCTTTCATCACCTACGTCCAATCAATATTAGTATTTTGTTGTATATTCCTCTGGTCCCTTCTTGGATACACATATACTTCATTTATTCTATCTTCTGTCTAAAATCATATAGTTCATCTGTTTTTTTTTTTTTCACTTTTTCTCCAACCAAGTGAGCTCAAATAAATGAAAAAAAAAAAAAAAAAAAAAAAAAAAACAAAAACAAAACCTTTCAGTGCCATGGTATTTAATATATTTGATTTGTAGTTCCTTTAAATAAATAGTAATCATTTGAAATACCTTCCATAAACAATTCACATACACTGGGCATTGTCATCTACAAGAACTTACCTTCACAGAAACAAAAATTATATTACAGATTTATTTCACATTACTTTAAAAGCTGCATTTCTATGAAATACTTTTATGAGGCAGTCTGAATAGACTTGATGATAAACTGTACATTTTAAAAAGATTAAACAGTATACTTTATGGCAGTGTACATATTTTCAAATGCAGTACTATCCATCTTAAAGTTCTTACCTTTCCCTTCTTTTCTCTTGGCAAACCTTCACAATCCTTAACCTCATGTCCAAACTGATTACAAAGAGCACATGGTTTGGGTTTGTTTGGTTTGAATTCTTCTCTGATTATGGTGAAGTTAGGTTCATGTGTAGCAAGACCAAGCATAATGAGATCAGCTATCAATCAATAAGAAAAAAAACAAGTGAATGGTACTTTGGAAGAATCCTTTACTTAACCATAATCAAAACACTACTAAACAATGACACAAGAAAAAGGCCCACTAAACAAAAAGCATGGGCAGCAAAACTCAGAAAGTCATCCCAGTAGTAGTTCTGCCTACAAAGTCATTCAGAGACATTGACCGACAATAAACCACAACTCGGGATTACATGTGGGAAACTGCCCATTGTAAAGTCAGCAACGTGCTACCTAAAGTTTGAAAAAACAAAACAAAACAAAAAGATCAAAATTCATGTGATCACTGACCACAGTGTAACAGCAAATTAATAGTGGTTCCTTTTAAACTTAGGCAAGACATCTAGGAACTGTCAACCAAACCTGAAATACCCACCACACAACAACCCACCAACATACTCTGGTTTAATCCAAGAACAGTAAATCCTCAAGAAGAAACATACCATCAGCTCCACATAAACAATGATGAGTATTTGGGTCATGGTTAGGCTGGGCTAAAAAAGGAGGGAAACACATATTTATAGAAACATATCATACACACAGAAGTAGCACAACTTGTCAAGTATTTTCTAGTTAATGGCCTTTTTGTTTGTTTTCAGGCAGTGCTTGGGACAGAACCCAACGTACCCCATGTGCAGGTAAATCTACCATTAAACTACATCTCCAGCCTGGGTTATGTTTGTTAGAACACACAATCATATACTTTTGAATTACCTCTTTGTCTTCTAATATAATCCATGATTTTGTGTTCTCCTTCACCAGGTGCACTAGCATCAGATAATATAACCTATTAAAAAAGGTTTTATATGTTTAGTTCACCTCCCCAATTTCTACCAGAACCAAGAGGGTATAACTGACTGCCTTAAGAAAAACTGAGTTGATTTCATTAATATGGTATTACTAACTGGAAAAAATATCTAAAGATGTGTGCTAAATACTAACACTACACCACTGATTAACTAACTTACCACATAGAATTGAAAACAATAAAACAACTAGGGTCAGATGCCATCAGTACTACTATCAAGGATACAGTACCAAACCCAAGAGCAACCAATAAAAGTTCACCAAGTCTAATTAAAGGGAAACACACACACCTAAAGCTACAATTAGAGAAAAGTTCACTCAAGTTTTATTTAAATGTTTATGAGAAATATCCACTTGTAAATGCAATCCCTTTAATCTGCTTTAATCTGTTGCATTTTGACAGCTAATAACAAATTTACTTTCTAGTTAAAAATTACATTCTTATACATGTATTTTTAAACATTATGAATTCCATTTTATAGCTTTTTAGTGAGGTAAAAGAATGAAATTGGCATTAAGAGAAAACTCAGCTATATAAAACCTGACCATGCAAGGCAATCCATTTCCAGCAACCTAGAAAGCTTCTCTTTTCTCTGACTGTCAACTAGCATTTTATGGGGAAAAGGGATAAATAATATCAGCCATGTCAAAGTATAGCTTCAAATGATCACTCTAATCTTCCTGAAGTACCAAAGTGTGAAACTTACTGTCAAATTTTTCCACCCAGGGTCATTATTTAAACGATCAGCTATGTAATAGCGAAGGCATTTAGCAAGATTGTCCATGAACTCAGTTCCCTAAAATGATAGAAAGAAAGAAATTAACCTATCATTTAAGAGTTAGCAGCAGCTAGCAAAGCCTGAGACTACTTACTGGTGTAATACAGTTGCTGTCAAATCTTTCTTTTATTTCTTCTGGAGGAAGAAAGCCACCTAGACAAAAGAGGCAATGTTTTGTTTTCCCCATAAAGTTAAGTAAATTAATCAACATTAAGAGAGAACAGTAACAAAAACATTCAAATATGAAAGATGTTATCACTTAAGAAAAAGATAACCCCCTCTCTAAGTAGAAAATAGCATTTCCCCCCCTTTCAATTTAAATAAAACTGTATTACAGTGGTTCTCAACCTTCCTAATGCTGCAAGACCCTTTAATACAGTTCCTCATAAAGTTATTTTCATTGATACTTCATAACTGTAATTTTGCTACTGTTATGAATCATTATGTAAACATCTGATATACAACCCTTGTGAAAGGGTTGTTTGACCCTCAAAGGGGTTACAACCCACAGGTTAAGAACCACTTCTTTAACAAGACTGTCCAACAATACATAGCATACAAAAAATGCTACAACACAGTAAAATAAAAATCATGAAGTCCTTCCTCTGTAAGAAAAGAACAAATGGTTTTAATTTTGACAATGGTTCTTAATAAATCATTAAGACATTTTTATCATAAACGAGTTTAAGAGTCTTAATTACAAGCATTGGCTAAAATAACTATATACTTACACACTTCCAAACAAATTACTATAGCATAGTAAAATTTATAAATGCACCCATGGCATCCTTTTCTACAGCTGTAAAATTATAGTGTCATAAATAATCATAGTGCTATAGGTAGCATACACCAACAAGTAAATCTGATAAAACCAACCAGACATCATACCACACACACTGGGTTGAGGAAGAACCAGTTCCAGTTGGCCTCAGTACCCCTCTCCCACTTACCTCTCCTCTAAGACATAGGTACCCACCAGGAATTTTAAAGCATTGGGAACTACAGAAAAAGTCCAAATTAAAGATGCATTCTCCCTACCTTTTGCAAGTATTTCTTCTCTGACTCGCTGCTTCTCAACTGCTGCTTCCATTCCTTCCTTTGATGCTCTAAACCTCCTTGAACGCTGTTGGTTCATTTTGGCACGTGGTGCCTAAAAACATACCTCATGTTTACATAATGCTATTCAAAATACTCATAAGCAAATCTGTACATTATATTCAACCTTCTCTTTTACCGCCTCTTGTCTCAACAACACCTTTGTATGTGTCTCCTAGTATTTTTAAGTAACTAAATTCACTCATCAGTCTATATCACTTCAAAAGGGCAATCATCACATTAGCATTGCACAGTAAATGACACAAAAAAAGCACTAAAAGAAAGTATCAATGAACCATTAAAGTATCAATCAGGCTTTTCTTTCTAAAATTAACCACAGTCAATATTTTTCACTATTCAGCTAACTTTCATTGAGATATTCAGAAAACAGCAAGAACAAAAAGAGGCTTCTAAATTATTTTAGCACTTACCACTCCATCTATTGCCATGTAGAGAAGTCTTCTTGGTCTTACGATATTGAAAAGTCTGTCAATGTACTCAAAAATTGCAACCATCATTTCATCTTCATTTTTTGGTGCTGGTCTATAATAATAATCAAATGATGTAATAGAACATAGTACTTCTGTGACCTGTACTATCAATGGCAAAAATGGATTACATACTTGTCTTCAGGATGAGTACAAGGATGGATGATTCCATTCATATCCAAATACAGATTATCAAACTCCACATCATTTGGATTAGGTTTACTGGCATCAACTGGAATCTTTACACCATTGCATTCTTTTGGCTATGAAGAAGTGATAAGTAATAGTTTGATTGTTAAGATCTAAACATGATAGGTACTAAGCTCAATATGAACCAATTTAATTTCAGAACTGAAAATAAAATACTTCAAGTACAAACAGAATCAAATTAACCCATTAAAATGTGAATGGCTTCTAATTTAACTAGTGAGATCACTGAGTTATCCAAGCAGGTCAATGTAGTCTCTTAGTGACTTCCCTCATCATTCACATTCAAGTTCTGTTAATTTAACATAAAATGCTTTTCTGTCCCCTTCCATTCCATGAGCACATCACGCTATTATACCAGAAAGTCACAACTACCTTCCAAAGCACTGCCTAACCAGTACACAATCTCATTTCCAAACCAGAGTCTAATCGGCAAAACACAAAAGCATCTTTGACTAACCTTGACTACTTTCCCAATGTTTTCCACACCAAACAGCTAAACAATCAGCCTGCCCTACAACTAGGTAGGCCTATTCATTTCTCAAAAGCTCCTAACACCTGTATCAGGCACTCAGGAGGCTGAGAAATGAGTAGTAGTGTATAAGTTTAAGGCTAATAGGCTATACAGTAAGTTCCCCTGTTATAGGGTAAGACTTCATCTCAAAACAAAACCTAGCAACAAAGCAGAAAATCAAAAGTTCCAACAAAGTGTTGTCATCTCATTACCTTTCTATTGCTCCTCTCAACCAATACTCACATCCTAAAATCTCCATAACTTTTCAGAGCCTAGACACAAATCAGAAGTCATCCCCTTCATTGCATCTGTAACCTATTACCTTCTTGCCTTTCCTTAGAATTTTGCTTATATTGTAGTATTGCCAGTTGTATGATTAATTTGTCACTTTCACCCAACTACGCTGTTAAGTCCTTCAAAAAATAGGGTTGTACTCTCAAAGGCTTTCAATTATACTTTTATGACAGTACTTTTGCCTTTTTCTTCCAGAACTTCAACGAAAGATTAAGACCCAAATTTTGTTTTACTAATAGTATGAGTCCTCAAACACATACAAAGCAATATAAACCAAACCAAACCAAACCAAACAAAACCCTATACATAATTTAAAAGCCCTCGTGTACATGGTACATCATGGTTAAGCATAAAATATTATGCTAAATGATAGCAGTCACTAAAGTCCACATCCTTTGTGATTCTATGATAAAGTCTCAAACAGACAAAACTATAGAAACAGGAAGTAGACAGTATCTGTGACACTCATGCTGAGGGTGGGGAAAAGGTGGAAGAAATGAAAGTAACTTTTAATGGGTATGCACTGCTTTAGGTAGTGAAAAAAAATCTAAATTTATATACTAGCAATGAGTACACAACAATGTAAATACACTAAAAATTATTGACACTGCCAGGCAAGATAGTGTATACCTTTGATTCCAGCACGTGGGAGGCAAGGCAGGTAGATCTGTGGTCTATATAGTGAGTTTCAGGACAGTCAAGACTTCACAGTGAAGACACTGTCTCAAAAAGCAAATAACCAAAAACAAAACAAAACAAAAAACCCTGATATTTTAAGCAAGTGAATTTCATGATACAGAATTTATACCTCAAGGGTAATGAGGAATGAACATGATCAAAATAATTTTATATATATGAAGATGTCACAGTGAAAACTATTATTATGTGTACTTTGCATAATAATTGTTATACCTGAATAAAGCTGTTTAAAAAATATCAGAAACTAACTTAGGCAGGAAAAACACCTCATGAAGACAATGATTAATGAACGGTAGTGCATCCATGTACTGGACTGCCAGACTAAGTAAGATCTAAAAAGCAAGCTGGATGGTCAAAAACATACTACTGAACAAAAATTCCAGAGGCAGAAAAATACACATTACCCCATTTACATCAAGTTATTAAATGCTGTCAGAGCTAAATGCACATGCAGTGGAGGCACAGAAAAAAGCAAAGGAATGATGACAAATAACATTTCAGAATATGTTTACTCAGAGGAAGGGAAAGGCATGAAAGTAAGCTTCCGTGTGTATTGTAATTGAGGGTGAGGGATATGGAAAGAGGGAACTTTTAGGTAGTTCTGTAGATATATGCTGAGTCGAGCAAGAGAAGCTCCATCAGAGTTGCAGGAAAGTCAGGGGACATACAATGACACAAACAAACAATAACTACATGTGTCTATCCCAAGTCTTTGGAAATTGTTCTAAGGACAAACAGAAACTTTACCATGAAAATGTAGGCAAAAAAATGTACGTATAATAGTAAGGAAGGGAAAGTAAAGAAAGGATGGAGCAGAAAAAAATATTCAAAGAATACTGAAATTATTCCAAATTAAATACACATATATACCTAGAAGCTCTATGAACTCTAAAATACAGACAACACAGAAGTAAAAATGCTGAAATACACAAAAAGAAAAGAATTATATGGGAATATACTTGGAGAACCAATGGGTTGGGAGAAAGCCCAAAGAGACTAGAAAAGTTGGCTTAGCAATTAAGATTACTCACTGCTAGGGGACCCAGGGTTGATTCCCAGCACCCAAAAGGCAACTAACAATCATCTGTAATCCCAGTCCCTCTTCTGGACTCCAAAGGGCACCACACACACAAAGTATACACACATGCATGCAGGTAAAACAATCACACATATCAAATAATAAATCTAAAACATTTAAATAAACAAATACATAGTAAATGCTTAGTAACTTTCAAGAGAACCTCAGTAAGAACAACATCTTACTTCTCAGGAAGGAGTAGGATGGCATAAAAACAGTGTTAACCAAGGAAAACTTTTATCTAGGAAATAGGAAAGTTATCATTAAACAGTAAAGATGAAGGAAGGCCAGCAAGATGCTCAAAGGGTAAAGGCCCTTGCTGCCAAGCCTAATGACTTTGAATTCAACCCCTGGAACCCACATGGTAAAAGGATCTGACCTCCGTATGCACACCATGTCATGCATCCAAGGCCCCCAAATAAATAAAGTAAGTATAATTTTAAAGCATTTAGGCCAGTGAGATGTCTCATGAGGTAAAGGCACCTTGCTGAGCAATCCTGGTACCTGAATTCAATCCCTAGAAACCACATAAAGGTAGACAAAGAACCAACTCTGAAAAATTGTCCTCTGACCCCCATGTACATGCCACGGCACACTGTCACCATATTATACTATACCCACATAGTAATAAAAATTTTAAATGAAGGTGAAATAAAGACTTCTCTGTGAAGAGAATCAGAATTTATACACAGCAGGTTTGACATCCTGGAAAGATGAATGTTCTTCAGACTGAAAGGAAGTAACTGTAAGATAATTCAAACTCTACAGCAATGACTTCAGAAAAACAATCTTTAAAAAGGCAAATGAGTTTTGAAAAAATCACTAATGAAGTTTTAGAAAGCAACATTAGAAAATGTTCACTCAATGCAAAAGTAAATAAAGATCACAGGAAGTAAAACTACATGAAACATAGGAAAGAAAAGGTCAAATGGGATACATAAATCCAAATATAGTGGCAATTATGCCATAACTACACCACAGAAAGCCAGTGGATCAAAATATATCTTATCTATAAGAAACAGAGTTGAGACACAAATACACAAAGTAGAACTTAACAGATAGGGAGAAGAAATCAGGCAAACAACCAATGTAAGAAAGCTACAGTAGCTACCATGTTTATGTATGTGTGCTTGCTTGTTCATATGCACACCACATGCACACAGGTACCCTTGGAGGTGAAAAGAAGGCATTGGATCCCATGGAACTGGAGTTTACAGCCAGTTGTGAGCTACCCAAAGTAGGTACTGGGACATAGGTCCTCTTTGAGAGCAGCAAATACTCTTAACTACTCGGTATCTCTCCATCCCTCCAATACTTTTACTTTTTAATTACATTTTATTTGGTTTTTGTATGTGGGAGCAGACACAGGATGACCTGCTAGAATCCTCTCCACCATGTGAATTACAGAGCTTAAACCCAAGTTGCTGGTCTTCAAAGCAAGCATATGCCTTTACCTACTGAGCCATCTCACTGCCCTCAAAAAAATAAATAAATAAATAAATAAATAAATAAATAAATAAAAGAACACACTCTAGCAGGGTGGTGGTGGTGTACATCTTAAATCCCAGCACTTGGGAGGCAAGCAGAGACAGGTGGATATGAGTTTGAGGGCAGCCTGGTCTACAGAATGATTTCCAGGATAGCCAAGGCTACACAGAGAAACTGTCTTGAAAAACCAAAAGAGGAGGAAGAGGAAGCAGAGGAAAAAGAGGAGAAGAAAGAAGAAGAAAAAGACCCTCTTCTAGTCTCTGTGAGCACTAAATATGCACATGGTGCACATACACAGATGCAGGCAAACACTGATAAACACAAAATAAAAACATACCTTAAAAAAAAAAAAATCTCAAATCAAGCCAGGGAAGATGGCAAACACCTGTATTTCAGCACTCAGTCAGCTGAAACAACAGGATTCCTGAGTCTGAGGTTAGCTTTGCTTACACAGCTGGTCTATGCCTTAATAATAATAATAATAATAATAACAACAACAACAACAACAATCTCAATAACCTAACCTTTTCTCCATCTCAAGACCCAACAAAAGGGATAAACCAAGCCTAACATAAAACAAAAAGAATGGAAACTATAGTAGAAAATAATCAGAGAGGGGGGGGGCAAAAAGAATGGAAACTATACTAGAAAATAATTAAGAGAAGGGGAGGAAATCAATGAAATTAAGTCAGTCTTACAAAAAGATCAATGAAACTGACAGCCTTTTAACTTGAGCAAGAAAAAGACTCAAATTACTAGGATGAGACACAAAAACTGACTTTATTGACAACTTTATAAACCAAAAATAATTATTAAAATACTACAAAACACTAGCAAATAAAAGTCAGCCCCCAAACACACACACACACACACACACACACACACACAGAGAGAGAGAGAGAGAGAGAGAGAGCGAGAGAGAGAGACAGAGACAGAGACAGAGAACAAGAGGACCAAGTGAAATTTATTACCTCAAGAATACAAACTCGATTTAGCATTCAAAACTTAACTCTGG